CACACCAATCCGCGTGACTCTTTTTAACATTTGCTCTTGTACTGAGAGATCGGTAACCTAGATTTTGATACCAAATTTTCAGAACCCAATTCACCAGACCGTGTGATCACCTACTCTAACACCTAGATATGAGAACTCAAACCGATCATGACAGACAGAAAATAAATAACACATAATCTAGCAACCTATAAAGTTATGAAATTACTATTGATTTTAAACCCCAAAGTTATTTACAAAAGGAACAGCCAACACTTCCCAAGTAACTAGTTCAAGCAGGTACAAGAGTGACTAAGAAGATTTAACGACTAAAAGAAAATACGACACAACTCTCACCATAAGAAAAGAAGAGAGGAAGTTGTTGGAGATCATCATCGTCTTCACTTACGGAATATCACTGATCTTGCAACTAGACTATGCCAAGTGTCATAGTAAGAATAATATTAGTGCAAAAAATACGTATTGATAGGCATCATCAGTCGATCCGAACCTACCACATAATAAAATTTATTTAATCAAGAAACATGAAACTTAAATATAACTACAACATCACCCTGATGGACTCCTATATTCTATATCAAGTCGCATCACCTTCTTCCGATGCCAACTCTACCATTAAGCATTCGACCCTCTTACCACTCTAAGGCTTCCCAAACCTACCTTCTATGCCATTCTAATATCAAATCATAACTCTGTTAGCCAACCTACTAATCTGAATTAAGTTCTCATTACACCTTCATGGCTCTTGCCTTATTTTAGTAAACCACATATAAGAATTGTAACACCCCAAAAATCTCTAAGTTAAGACTGGAATCATTCTTCTTTTGCATGTAAGTTCGTACCGGCTGATTCTTAAATTGTGCTTAGGTTTTAAGGTCAATTATTTAGTGTGGGAATAAATTTGGAAATGAATTAAGGTCACAAGAATCCCCTAGCACAAAGTTGAGTTGAAAGCTTCCGGACCAATTAAGTTTTGATATAAGATTCTACTTAGGTCAACTTCAAATGATCATGTCTTTTAGGATATAGAGTGTTAGGTGGTTCATAACCTATCAAATTAAAGGTATTTGAGTCTTATTTCCAGAGCCACCAAATTTGCGTCATTCAGAATTTGGAGTTGAGAGTTATGATCATTTTACTAATCCAATGCATACAGTGATGTTTTGGCTGATGGAAAACCACTAAAAAGGATCGTTTTTGTATTTTTATCCCGAAGAAAATCCTAAACGAATTTGTTGACTTCTAAAAGACCCTAAACAATCAGATGTTCATCTTTTAATTCTACATTCTCTCCTCTCCCAATCCCCAAGGCAAAATTCTAAGGAAAATCAAAGCATAAGACTTTCATACAAGATTCTTTCAAAAAAAATTCAAGATTCTTCTTCAAGGTAAGTTATTCTCCAAGAATTTCATTCTTTCCAACTCAAATTCCTTCGTATAATTATGAATCACTAATAAGAACCTTAATTCTTGTCATAGGGCTTGCTCTTTCAATGTTAAAAATCATGCCTATAGAAATTGTTTGTTAAATCATATCTATCAAAATCTTTGTCATAGATTTAATCTTTAATTATGATTTAAGTGTGATTTTCATTGATTTTTTCTTAACTAAGAGAAAATGGTTTACTGTTAGTTTTTTAATAACTGAACATCGCTTAACTGTCTATTATCAGTATATATTAAAAATCAATTATCTAACTTTAACATTATTTTTTAAAAAAATTTAACTATTAATATGTATTAAGTAATTTGCAGAACCTTTATATGAAATTTCATGGCTTGTTTAAATATAATCACCAATCATCATGTAATTAAATCAAGGCTATTGAATATGTTTTAACAAGACATTGCTATAGTAGATTTCATGCCTATAAGATAAAATAAGAAATTCATTGTCATTTCATACATCTACTGCAATATTTTCTATGTTATCTAGACATCATGTTTATAGGATTACTCAATTAATTTAAAATGATTTTCATATAAGTTTGTCTCCATAAAAAAAATATTTATTAGTATATATATGTTGTCATTTAAAAATTATGTTTATAGAAAATTTAAATTTTAGTAGCAAATATCATCAAATAGACATCGTGTCTATAAATTTTAATGTATTATGTAAAGCTAGTGTCCTAATAACTAAAATTGTCATAAATGCATTTTCTTTATTGCAACAAGCCTAGTAATATCTAATAATTAAACTTTTTCTCTGTGTTAATTAAAATATCATCATATAGACATCATGCCTATAAATTTATGTATTGGCCAAACACATACGCAGACCATTAAACATGTCCCTAAATTTCATTTTGGCACTCCAACTCAACCTTGTTCCATTTTAACCCTTCAACTCCAATTTTTATGTTTCATTTTGGCACTTCTTTCCAAAGAACCAACAAAGTGAGATGTGTGTACTTCACATGTCATTATTGTGTTAAAAAATAATGGATGAACATTGTTTTTTAAAAAAATATTTTTTTTAGAGTTTCTGTACTTTATTGTGTGAAAAAATAATCTGCGAAAGTGTGTTGGTTTTTTTAAAAAAACAATTAGTTAATTTAAATAACATCACATATATTTTTTTCATATCTAGTCTACTTGGACTAACTCAAATATCAGTTTTCTAATTTTTCATTCAACTAATTAATACGAGTAAAAAAAAACTCATGTTCATTGCTAATTAATAACACTATCAAAAAAATGTTGAAACTCGATAGACTTCGTTGGGTTGTCATTGATTCTTTTAAGAAAGAAATTGACGCACTTTCGTCGGTTATTTTTCACGCAAAAATATAGGAAAACTCTTAAAAAGAAAGTGTTACTTTTTTATTAAAAAAATAATGATAATTCGTCAGTTTTAATTTTTTACAATAATTAATGGATGATCGTCGATTTTTAAAATGCAAAATTACAGTTGAATAGCATATATAGAAATAAAGAAATCATAAAATTAGTATTTTGTGTTAAATGGTACATAAAAGAAATAGAGTTGAAGGGTAATCTTTATTATTTTTAAAAAAATACTTTTTTTTGTCATTCACTCTCTTAGAGAATGTGTGATGCACACTCTCTGCCACATCACTTAGAAGTGCCAAAATGGAACATAAAAATTGAAGTTGAAGGATTAAAATGGAACAAAGTTGAATTGGAGTGTCAAAATGAAATTTAGGGACAAGTTTAAGGGTCTGCATATTCATTAAGACCCTTATGCATACGCATTAATTGCCATGACCTTCATACTTTGTATTTGTTATCAAACATGTTAATAATTAATTAAATTATTAGACACCTATATGAGACTTTTTTTTCTAACTACTCTCAAGTTCTATTTGTTTTGTTTGACGATGTGTCTAATTAAGAACCTTAGGATTTCTTTTAGTCTAGAACATATCCTATTAGTAAGTTCAATGTCTCTTGAATCTAGGAGGGGTAGAGGGTAAAGGGTAGATAATCGAAAATGATGGAAGTTGGCCCGAGTAGAAAATGACAAATTTTGAATTTATCTTCCGTTAATAAATCAGACACTGATCCGAATATGATAAATTTAGTTTTTGTTCAATTCATTTTTTTCTTACCTTTTTATTATTGTTGTCTATAATTATTTGAGGTAATTTTTATTAGTCTTATGTGATTTTTACATACCTTCCGTACTTCTTAGTTCTTAGTGTGTGTTTGGTAAGAAGGTTTTCCAATTTTTCCATGTTTGATTGGCTTAAAAGTTTTGAAAAATATTTTTCAAATCAACTCATTTTCCTCAAATTTAAGGAAAATAACTTATGTTCAAAAATTAAGGAAAACATTTTCAAAACTATACTTCATCCTTAAATTACAATATTTTTTTCTTACCCTACCCGTACCCCTTACCAGATCCTCCCCCTCCAAAAAAATAAAACTAAATTTTAAATTTTCTTAATTTTTTACATCCCCATCATTTAAAAAAAAAAACTATTTTTTAAAAATATTTCATTTTTTTGAAAAAATCATTTTTTATGCCACCTTCTGCCCCCCCCCCCCCCCCCCCCCCCCCCCCCCCCCCC